CTATTTTTATACATGCTCATGTCTCTCTGTTCTTCCTAGTGCTTATTATAATTGTAAATATAAAGTAATTGGCACAATTATTTACTTAAGGTTCGTTTTTCTTGCTATTGTCTAAACACCATGGCAGCCAGGAACACTCATGAGCCTGGTACAATGCTTAAGAATATCTTTTGATGAACAAAGCCTTCCAACTAAAAAACTCCAGGGAGTTCCCTCATGGTCACATCCTCCCTTCCCCCTCCGGCCCAACTCCAGAAGCAAACAAGCAGTTAGACTAGCAGTTAGACTGAACCTTTCCCTCCTTTCTTTTAGGGCTGGCTGATGTTGAAAGAGAACTGGCTGTGGGTGAAAGGGGAGCTGAGTAAAAGACAAAGGTCTTGATCCTATCTGTAGCCAGTAATGACCCTCCCCCAGATTCCTAAACCACGGCCTCCGGCTTCCTGGCCTACAGTAATCTCCCTGGTCTTCAGGTTTCCTTGACACAGTTTCAGTTACCCTTAGGCAATGGTAGTTTGAAACAAAGGAAAATTCTAGAGATTAACAACTACAGTACTAGAGTTTTTTTGTTTTCCTTTTTTTTTTTCTTTGGGAGACAGGATCTAGCTACGTAGTTCAGGCTGGTCTTGAGCTCATTTTGTAGCCTAGGCTGGCCTTGAATTTACAACGATCCTCTTGTCTCAGCCTCTCAAGTGCTGGGATTACAGGCATGTGCCACCACACCTGGCTCTTACAATACTAGGTTTTAAACTGCCAATCTGAGTAGCATGATGAAATCTCAAGCCTACCTGGTTCATCGTGCCCAGGATGTAAGTTATCATTTTGCCCAATTTATCCATGCTGGGTGTGCCACTCACCTCATAGCAGCTGAGACCAGGGTATGTCACACAACTTTTACAAAATCTTAACTGTTATGTTGCAGTGTTTAATGCATAATGAAACTTTATCACAAGTGTGTATGCAAAGGAAAAAGCATACTAAGATAGAGCTCTGTTTCAGGCATCCACCAGGAGTTTGTGGAACACTTCCCATGCAAATCAAATAAGGGAGGATACTGGACTGGTAAACTAGTGTCGGCCAGCTTAAGGCATCAGTACTAAGATTTAAGCAAGTAACTAAAATATTGAATAGGCTGGGGAGTATTCAATGCTTAAATTCTTAAGCATTGTACCATTAAATATTGAATAGCTCAGTGGCTTAAGCACTTGCCTGGTAAGCACATGGCCCTGAGTTCAATCAATCCCTGATACAAAAAAAGAAACAAAACAAAACAAAAAAAAGGAGAAAAATATCTGTAAAATTAGTGATTAAGGGGCTGGTGAGATGGCTCAGTGGTCTGGGGCACCTGCTTGGAACAAGCTTAGCAGAGCACAGGGATCGCGGTTCAATCCCCAGCACCACATGCCGGCCAGCCCCACCCCCTGGTGGGCTGAGCTGGCCGTGCGCGCCTGCGCGCGCACACACACACACACACACACACACAAATAAATAAATAAATAAAATTAGTGATTAATAATTAAGGCTTAGTAAATAGCTTAAGTTGTAAATTATGACAATGAATAAAGTATTTGGTTTACACTCAAGGTGTCAGGAGATAAAGTACTAATACATAATCAACTATTAACTAAGAGTTTGCTGATAAGCAAGGCATTAATGTAAAACCTAGGTGTTAGCAGATACTGGTCAACCAATGAGTAGGATGACAGCTATTAAGAAATTAAAGAGAAGCAGAGCATGGTGGGGCATACCTGTATTCCCAGCACTGGGGAGGCTGAGGCTGGAGGTTCATTGCCAGTTCGAGACCAGCCTGGGCTACAAAGTGTGCTCCAGGCCAGCCTGAACTGCACAGCAAATTCTGTCTCAAAAAGACAAAAATAAAAAGGGGAAAGTGCAGAGGGTGCAAAGGCTGAGCGTAGGGCCAGCAGGTGTGTTGGGACAGTGATGAAGTTTAGCTCTGGGCTGTTCAGGTATTTGTAGAGATGCCCACTAGGAAGATGGATACAAGGTATTGATGCAAAGGTATTGATGCAGAGGCATGTCATCAGAGAATAGATACTGGTGGAAAACCACAAGAACAAAAAAATGAGGTGGCTACAGAAAAGTATATGGAATAGGGAGAGGGTAGCTTAGAATGCCAAAGACCAACAGGAAAGGGCTGGATACAAGAGGTCAGAGACATGTACTGACACTGAGAAGGAAGGGGCACTCAAGAGAGATGGGGACAAACTAAGAGGAGACAGTAGCAGGAAAGCAAAGGGAAGAGAACATCTAAGAGGCGTCAGCAGTGGAGGTTTGGTAGGATAAGGTTGGAGATGTCCCCTGGACTCAACAACAGGGGTTCAGTGATGGCCTTGACAAGTAGAAGGCAGGCAGAAATATGAATGGTGGAGCCAACAGGTACAGCAAGGGAAGGGGGCTTGGGGGCACAGGGTTCTGAGATACTCGTCATGAAGATTTCTGATATCTGGGTTGCACTATGAGTATGTATGTGTGTGCACACGTACACATGAGCACACTCAGAAGGGGAGCCTGGAGCAGTGTACTGGGACAGGATAAGGGCCACCACTGCAGGGGCTGTGGTTTGCCCACAGGCTTCACTTCACCCTGGCAGCATTGATGAGGCTCATCCAAGGGAGACTGTAAGAACTTTAAGTGTAGTTCACCCTTTCCTTCTTAGTGGAAAATGGGGAACAGCAGAGATGGGATGATTTGATGTTTGTGGGTCAGGGACACTAGAATTCGAATCTGAGTCTCTCGATTTCTTAAGAGTCTGATCTTGGAGGTTGAGTTATTGATCAGTGACTTTCCTACCACCTCAGTATCTGGCTGCCTCTTTATATGAATAAAATGTATATTTTATGTACAAAATCTAAAATTTAAAGAAACACTTTAATAAAGAAAACGGGTCCTGTTATCATCATTAACATTTTGGTTTATATTCTTCCCCTTTTCACTTAACATTGTAAGTTTTTAATAAAACATATTTGTTCATACTTTCTCTGTGTGAATGTGCACATGTTAATTCTGCTTTACAACTTGTCTTTACAATTTTAGACAGCTTTTTTTTTTTTGTACTGGGAATTGAACTCAGGACCTTGCACTTGCCAGGCTGGTACTGTATCATTGAGCTATCTCCCAGCCCCTTGGACAGCTTTCAGTAGTGGCACATACAGATCTAACTCATTCATTTTAGTAATGGTATTAATCATTTGTATTTGTTCCATACTGCATTACCAAACTCATATTGACGGATATATGGGTCACATCCAAATTTTCACTCTTATAAAAGTGTCCATATATACATAGTTTGGGAATACTCAAAGGGAAAATGCTAAATCAAAGGGTTTGGACATTTTTGTTTCCAAAGATATTAAATGACCTTCTAAAAATTTGTTCTGGTTTATTACCCTATAAATGTTTATGTGAATTCTATCTCCCCACATCCTTATCAATAATGGATATCATTTAAAAACTTGTTCCAACTTAAATAAGACTGAACATCTTTTCATATCCCATTGGTCATTTGTATTTTTCTGTGAATTACCTATTCATGTCCTTTGCATGGTTTTCATTGCAGTATACTTTTGGTCAGTAAATAATAATGCTCAGAACCTCACAACTCTCCCGCTGGCCAAAAGTGCCC